AAAATAATAATTAATAATAATTTCCCTCAAAAATGATTCAGAAAAAAAATTATTTTTAAAGTTTTATTGAGTGATAAATAATTTCTTATTATTACTAATAATGATAATGATAATGATAATAATAATAATAATTAATAATAATTATTATTAACAAAAATAATTAATAATAATAATAACAATTTCCCTCAAAAATGATTCAGAAAAAAAATTATTTTTAAGGCTTTATTGAGCGATAAATAATTTCTTATCATTATTAATAATGATAATGATAATGATAAGTAGAAATTATTTATCATCCAATAATCGGTAAAACTTTAAATAATCTTTTTTTTGAATCATTTTTGTGGAAAATTTTGTTTTAACTTTAAGGTTTAATAAATTCATCTTTTATAGGCAAATGTCAAACGATCGATCAATTGCTCAATTTTTTGATTTCCCATTTCATGCGTTGATTTTTAAGCATAGCATTGGTTAAATGTGAAGTGTTACTTTTCGTGATATTTCTGTTTGGTAATATGTTGGTTATTAAGTAACATCAATGTTGGTTTGAAGAGATGCTTAAGTATCAAACAGATATTATCTGAGAGGATATATAACAGCTGCTTGAGAAGCACAGCAAGGGAGGAGGGAAAAGTGGAATTTCATCAGATTGATCGAATGAAATATCGACCGATTGACCGATCGACCAATTCGTTTCTCTCCGCCATTTGCTATTCAAAGGAAGTAAATGTGCTTGCATTCATTTATCGTTTCACAACATTTAGTTAAATATGATTGCATATTTCGAAACGGATTGTTTACGTTTTTTCCTTTCTGTTGGAACTTGAGAGCATAAACATTAGCGCTAGTAAAAGCATTTTTATCAATCAATTTTTCATTTTTATAATATTTCATTTCAAAAATACCACCGATCGATTTTATAGTCATAGTTATCATGGCATAGCTGCTGTCTACAGTACATAATTGAAATGGTTTCTTTGTTGTTTCTTTCATTTCACTTCTATTTTTAACTTTCACCTTTTTATTTCAGAGTGTGAAGTGATCGCATGTTGGCTAATTGTTGGATAATTTTGTTAGGGCTTCATGCCATCGGGGCATTTGAGGATTACGAAAATAAGTTCGAAGATAGTGATCTTGTTACGGAAAAACATGATGGGGTAAGAAAGAGTTTAATATTAATTAATGATATAAAGTTGATAGCCTAGTTATGCATAGATTGAAAAACAAATAGAGAATTAATAATGTGAGATTCCTTTTAGGTCATTTTTGCAATGCAAACTCCCTCTCTCTCTCTCTCTCTCTTCAACATTGAATATTCGAATAGTTATTGTGTTATGTAATAATTCGAATTCCAATTAAACTAATGAAAAGACAATGTCTAAATATTGAAAATGAAATCCTAAACAGTTGAATATAAGATATGTGATTTACTGAGAAAGATAAATAGCCAAGTTTAAGCATATCGAAGCCTAGAAGATTTTATTTTTGCATTTCATGAAGAATTCGATGAAATCAATTTAAAAATTTCCTTGTAGAATTAAAAAATAAAATTGTTCAGCATTTAAGAAATTATCGGCTGAACAATTAAATGAGATACTGTTAATTTTACTTGACAATAGGATTAACTAACGGAAATCTTTAAATCATAATTTTTGGTATAGTTATCTTTCATTTATTATAACTATAGGATTAACTAACGGAATTCTTCACATCATAATTTTTGGTATAGTTATCGTTCATTTATTATAACTGTAGGATTTGTTATCATTAGCGACAGAAGAATACAACAAAAACTCCAATGATAAGTACTGGTGGATTCCAGTGGAAGTATTGAATGCCGGTGTTACTGATGATAAAGGATTGTTTTTGTGGGTTAAACTTGTAATGGCTCCTTCGAATTGCATAAAAATTGTAAGACTTTCTTCTTTCCCCTCACTTCAATTCTTCATATTAAACTTTAAATTTTTTGATTCTATTTTTACTGATAAGTAAAATTTTTCAGGCCTATGCTAACTATAATAATAAACATTGCAAAGCGAAAAAAACAACTGATTTGAAGGTAATACATTTTTCAACCTCAAAAAGTGTTTGAATTTTGCAGAAATTATGTGGCAAAGATAGCGTATAATTTAAAACATATAATATATATATGTATAATTATTATATATAATAGTTATTATTATATAGAAAAGTGCATTGATATTGTTCGATATATATAATAATAATTATTATATATATATTTTATTCATTCCTGCAATTTATTTCGAACAATATCAATGCACTTATTTTCAGAAGATATTTTGTAGGGATCAGATTTTAAATTATAATTATTTGAAGGAATTTATAGATAGTAGAATTGCTATCAATTTCTTTATCATCAAAATTATTTTTAACAATTTTCTTTTTTTCAGGCTTGTACATTTAAAATAGTTAAAAAAATATGGATAATATCAGAGGGTGTTAAGCTTGATACATGCTCTGATTATGTTTCACCCGAACAACTAAACGAAACGATCAGGTTGCTTTCTGTTATTTTATGATTGTTTAAGGAGATTTTGAATTAAATAATGTAAACTGATAAATGTTATAGCTTTACACCAGATGTAGTGGAAACGAATTCATCAAGATCAGTGCTTGATTCGGTAGAATGGATGAAACCAGAAATGATGACGCTATGGAGAAATTTCGTAAATTTCATGAAAACGTGAGAAATTTCTTACCTCTTTCAGATATATTTATTTTTTGTTACATTTAATTAAACGAAAAAATTACCTGATGCAATCGGTGCGATCGGACTAATTAGCTTTGCTTTAGCGATACATCAATGTATTCAATATATAGGACTTGATTCAGGATTCAGTCATTCGTTCGAGGGCACTAGAATTTTTCGATATCTGAAGCTAGAATTAAAGTTACGTGTATAAAATTCTTCTTTCTCCATTTTAATGTTTCAGATTCAAGCGAGAATATTCTTCGGTAGCGGAACAATTAGAACGTTTCAAAATATACATACAAAATATGCATTTCGCACAGAAGTTGCAGTATGATGAGAAAGGAACAGCAATTTATGGTGTAACCCAATTTAGCGATATGACACCCGAAGAATTTCAGAAAGTAGGAATTAGAATTCATTTATATTTAGATTTAAAAAATTTGCATCTATTTTGCAAAATTTTTAGGAAGCACAATTGATGATAGCTGATACTTCTTGTGTATCATTTTTTTTAGATACAATCATTTCATTTGATCGATAATTTCTTTTCTATTAATTTCTCTTAAATGATTGATTGATAGTTTTTTTGAAACCAAAATTGTTATCTGAAATTAAAATTAAAAATTTATTGATTGTATTGATTTGGTGGTTTGGTGTTGTTTTAGTAATAAGTAAAGTGTTTTAGTAATAAATAAGTTTTTAGTAATAAGTTTTAGTAATAATTAATAATAGTAACTGAAATTTTCAGAAAATGCTACCAAGCGTGTGGTGGGATAGTGTAAAATCCAAACATACTGAATTAGATTTTAATTTAAATAATTTTAATCTCTCATTCAATAATCTACCAACGAAATTCGATTGGCGCACAAAAGGAGTTGTTACGCCAGTAAAAAATCAAGGTCTATAAGTTTATTGTTTTATAAAATATTCATTAATAGTATTCATTAATAAAATATCATTAATAGATTGTTGGTGAGAAATTTCATTTGCTAACTTTTGATTATTTTTTATGTTACTTTAATACTTTGATGCGATTCAATATTTATATTTCAGGTTCCTGTGGTAGTTGTTGGGCTTTTTCGGTTACTGGCAATATTGAAGGTCTTTGGGCTATTAAAACAGGTGAGTTGATATCGCTCTCCGAACAAGAATTGATTGATTGTGATATTATTGATAATGGATGCAACGGAGGATTACCAATCAATGCTTTCCGGTCGGTTTGCATAATATTTTGATGTGAAGATGAGAAATAGAATGAAGAGAAAATTTGAGCAAAAAATTTAATGGTATTTTGAAAAACTCTATTTTCTGATGTTTTGAAAAATGAGTTTGAATTTTATCGTGAAGGTACGAAACTCATTACTGTATCAAAGTAGAATACGGGATAGCTTATCTTCAGAGAAATAAAGCGAATGGGTGGTTTGGAACCGGAAGATAAATATCCATATAAGGGGAAAAATGAAACGTGTCATTTGGTTCGAAGAAATATTGCTGTTAGTATTGATGATGGCGTAGAAATTCCGCGTAATGAGACTGTGATGAAAGCATGGATTGCGCAACGTGGGCCTATTTCTGTTGGTAAGCGATTGTTAGATATTATTGTAATTATCTTAAAGTGGAAAATATGATTAGAACAGAAGACATTAGAAAGTAACTGACTATAATATTAATGTGATATCAATAGCGTAGACCAGATGAAAGAGCCTGATCGATAATTTTGATTTTTTTCAACAAATTTGGGATTTCCTCTGACATATTACTATATCACTATCGAATGTACAATTGAAACTGATTTTAAATTTCGTGGCAGTCAGAGTTCGAATTCAGATTTCTGATTTCCAATTGATTGGAACCACGTTCCAGAATGATTTTTTAAGGAATTGATGCGGAATTACTGGCATATTATAAAGGTGGTATTCTTCATCCAACCCGATCACGCTGTCCACCGTCGAGGATTAATCATGGAGTGCTGATCACCGGCTATGATGTTGAAAATGGTCGACCCTATTGGATAATCAAAAATAGCTGGGGTGAGCAGTGGGGTGAAGATGGCTACTTTCGTTTGATGCGCGGCAAGGATGTTTGTGGCGTTAGGGATTTGGCGTCATCTGCAATCATTTATTGATCTTTTTATAACAGTTTATTGAGACAAATGAAAACTGCAACTCCCATGTGCATTACAGTTTTGTTACAGTTGACTTGAAATTTCATAAAACATTACCTGTTTATTTGTGTTCGAAAACGAAATTTCACTTAGTGAATTTGCGCTTATCAGTCATTTTGATAATATTTGCAACATTTCGTTTAATTTATCAAAATGCATACATAAGCTCGAGATCGTAACCAGATAAGGCATTTGACATAAAAAACATGAATGGTTTGCATATGAAAAGTTATGCATTCTGCGCATACGCTCCGAATTCACTTGCCCCTGCTTTCTCAATTTTTTGTACCATAGCATCATGGACTCAAAAAGTGTACCAAATGCTTTCCTTAGTTAAAATTACAATTCAAATTTTATAACAACGCAGAACACATGCGAATAGTTTTTATACGACTCCTAACCTCTGTGATAGAGAGTACGATCTCATTCTATTTTTTTTCACTATTGAAGAGAGAGGAATATAGGAATATCTTGGTTGATTTGGGTATTCCCCGTAATGCAGATGGTGGCTGATAACATTCAATTAATAACATTTGCTCAAGTTGAAAAATTTTAAGTGAGAAGAGTTAAAAGTTACAGGATGGGAAATCAATATAAAAACAAATTCGCTATATTTCAATTAAGATATTTTCGTTCTTCACCACGTAAAAGCAAGTTTTCCTGTGGTAGCTTTACCCGTTTTTCATCTTTCATTGCTACTCGTATGAAGTCGTTGCACCCGCATTGCTAGAAAGAATTTACTGTATAATGACTGATAAGTGAACTTGATGTATGTTAAAAGCGGGGTGGAAATTAAAGATTTATCTTTCTTTCTTAACTTTGCTTTATAAGTAAAATTTAGGACCGCAGGTCCTTCAATTGAAGAAATTCTTACTTGAAGTACGAGTAAATGAAATTCTCTCATACTTGTTAAGTGTTACGACGGCTCAACTTGCCCTGGTGAACTTGATCATTACATTTATTTATATGAAACTACCAAGCTATCTCGAATCAAAAAGACTAACCGCGCAAGGAGTTGTAGATAGTCGTTCGTACGAAAATGTGCGCCTATGGCACTGTTTACAGCGGAAGAATCGCTTGTTGGCCTTCCACTGTTTTACAGTATGATGCAATTGTTTGCATAGATCACTTTGTTTGTGTGATGTATAATTGCACTGCAAAATATTATTAGGAAATTCCTCCATTGCTTCGCTACTTTCATTTCACTGCGGATGCTTCTGCGTTCAAAATCTCCGCAAACAAACTTTATTATGAACAGATATTGCTGATTTACTCCCAAGATGACTAAGACAAACTGCTATACTGGGCTCTTTTTTCATCTTTAAATCCAAATCTCATAGGAATGTTTCAAAGTTAAGACATGGTATACCTGAGTGCAAGTAATTACATTGTAATTTCTAATTTCCATTGTATTGGTTAGATAATTTTCCAATTTCTCTTTCTGTTCCATGACTTGGAAGTAGCGCTCTTCACGAATAGCATCTTCCTAGAATGATTTTAAGCGCTTTCGATGATCGTTGAAGTTCAATGAATTAAAATGTTATAATTATAGAAAATGGAAGATTTAAATTTTCAATTTAAAACTAGGCAAGAATTACAATGACTAAAGAAGTCGTGCATTTACTATTATATTTTATTCCAACGGTTCTAAGGCAAAGTCTCCAGATTTCTGAGATCAAACTGCAACATAATAAAACTTGAAATGATTCTCATTAATATAAAATACAACAATCTTTCATAAATCGTAACCGAAACTCTATAGCGCTAATATAAAAGTTAGAACTCTGTCAAAAATCTAATCCGTCTGGCATAATCATAACACGAATGCAATAATCAGTGAACTTACCCGACGAAGCTCACCATCATGATTGCTTTTTTTCTTCAGCAGCGCTGAGATTTCATCAGCAGTATAAAAAGTCTTCGAGAATTCTCTGACTTTTTCCGAGTTGCCATTAACATTCACATTAACTTCGGATCTCTTCATTTTCAGCTCTTCTTTATGCTCTGGGGAAACTGAAAAACTTCTTTGAAGTCCAGTGAATTAAAATGTTATAATTTACAACGACGTTTTCTTTAATATTGCATTTTAAATGGAGTCCTGACTGAGTTCATTTGGGCAGTGATTTTAAATTTAACTAAAGTCGGGAAAGCAGACGAAAATAGTGGTAGAGCACATATCAATGTTATAAGAAATGGTCTCTGACACACCAAAGTATTCAAACTGCATGCTTTTTCGTAAGGAGAATGTCATAAACAGCGATAATAACATAGCTTCGGTTCAAAAAAATGTTTCCAACTTATTTTCGTGCAGAATCTTTATGTTACAATGAAAATGCATGATGTATTTAAAAAAAAATTAAAAAACAACGCAAAATGACTTACAGAACAAATGCCTCTTTTTGGGCCTGCCATTAATTGAGTTTGGGTCAGCCTTTTCCAAACCACCTTTTTTCATTATTGTTGCAATAGCTTTTTGCTACAAACGATTACATTACACTTTCAGCCTAATCAGTAAATGATTTGAACGTAACTGCTTAATGATTTACAGCAAAGTCCGTTCCAGCTCAGTTATCCGTTTTGATAGCTGAATCACGTTAAAAAAAGACTGCACTAAATACATTAGCGATATTGGAATTCACCTTCGCATTTGCTGAAGCACTTAGTTTGTTGACCATTTTTCTAGGGCTAATTAGTAAGACAGATTCAGAGTTTAAACCTTTGCCGAGTTCTGGCGAATGCGTCGAACTTTTTATTTCATCCTGAATAATGAAGTATGGTATACCACTATCATTCAGAAAGCACTTGGCACCAAAACATTGACCAATTTCCAAACTAGCAATACTTTGAAGTTAATTTTTTCAACAAAGCATTATCATTTCTTATCAAAAGTCCCATTGTTTGCTACAATATTTTTTCCAGGAAGAAAGGCTTAAACCGATCATTAAAAATATAGAAAGAATTCGAACGCCTGCATCATTATCAAAATAGTCTGTTCTTTTTGGTTGTTCTAGTATGCCCTCAAACAGAGTTATCTAGCGCATAACTAACATGGACCAATTAATGAGAGATGAGAATTGTACACACTACAACTTTTGTAAGCCATCTCCCATACACTGAACCATTATCTTCAACGTAGGTTCAGCTAATTCAGTAATTATCAAAACCGAAAAAATTTACAAGTCAGAAACCTGTTTTTGCAAAAACTCTTTCAATGATTCATTGCTTCTTTCCTTCGGCAATATTTTTCCATGCGGTTGTGATGCGCTTCTTGTACCACAAATTGCAGTCTATAAAAGAGACAAATCATTCCGGAAATTCTTCGACGAGGCAAATAAGATTCCATCAAATATGATATTCCATATGAAATAATTATTATTAAACAGTTCGAATGAATTGTCAGTGAGAGAAATAATTAAATGCATTAAATGAAAAACCAAACAATGCCTAATTTCTAAGCAGTATGACAATAATAAAAACCCACTTTATTTCGTAATTAACAGTTAAATAAAGGAGCTTACCTCCTTCGCAATTAGAGCGTCCAATGTCATCTTTTCACGCCTCTTCAAATTTTTTGACTGCATTAAACAACTCCCAGCCTGCTGTTGTTCAAAATTTTTTCTACTCTCATTTATCGACAAGGCATTTGCTGGAACTCTGGCAGCCCTAAAAAGATTCGCCGGCATAAGTGATCCTTTCTCATCAATATATATAATATGGAGATTATAATCTTATATTTCATCATGAAGGTCAAGAACTTAAAATTGTTAGTTATTTTCAGGTGAATATCTCGACATATGCTAACCTTCTCGAAACTGTAATTACACCTCCCGAAAATGAGTTCGATTCTTGCAATGGTAACTTTCGACTAGGATTTGCTAGTACAGACGCAAACGAGCCACGATTTGCTGTGAATTTCTGAGCCTCTCTTTGAACATGATAAATGCAGCGCTCGCATTGCGACAAGTTTACCACATTTTGACATAATCCACCATCTTTTTTTATTGCCTGTTCGAAGAGTTAAGTGTTTTTATTCTTGGTTTCGCATGGAATTCTTGACGACCACTTAATCAAAAAAGTAACAATATGTCCTACCACTAATCAAATAAAATAGCTATACAGAAAAATTATACAGCTTTTACTCAACATAATTTCTGCTCTTTTAGCACACCAATAGCAATGTAAAAAATTATTAGGACGTTTCCTAGTTCTTTAATCTTTGACCCATAAATAAACGACCGTATTTCTAGTATGTTTGAAAAAAACCTTGCAATGACCAAAATCAGGGCAAAATCCCATTTCCAAAACTTGGGCACATTTCGTCAATTTCACTGTTGCTGGAAAAGACAAAAGCTGAACGATTGAGGAAGAAAATAAAACAAAAAAAATAAACATAATATCAAATCAAATGGAAAAGTTTAACAATAAGGACAATAGCTTTATTTATGGATCACACGTACTACTGCGTTAGCTTAGAATGAAAGATACATCTGCTTTAGATATGTGAAAATTTTACCGACAGCCATAATAAATATCATAAGAACTGGGAAGGAAAATATTTTCATTTTACTTTGTTTATTATCGCCATCAGCAAAAAGTGGTGCTACAAGCGCAATAACAGTACCAAGCTGCAGCTTCCAAAATTTTTTGATACAATCACCGAACACGAGAATCTTAACATTTGTATCTAGAGAATTCTGAAAACGAAATTTTATTTCTATTCTTGGGAACTTTTCTTGAGAACTTTTGTGTAGTTAATACATTACAATAAAAGGAGTTTAAAAAAAATGGGCATTACGCAGCATAGACATTGACTTTACAATTTAGTTTTAAAAATATATACCGTCAGGTCGGAAGTGTTCCAAATCATATACTCGTTTCCGTTTGCGCTTTTACGACAACCTGTTTTTTCTATGATAATTGCCAAGGAAATCCATTTATCACCGTTCTTCTATAAATTAAACATGTCATTAAACTTTCTTAAGTCTCTTGATAACCATGCTACTATCTTACAACTAGTCAGTTTAAAAAAAGTTGTCTGAAATAAAGTTCTTACAGAAAAGGATTTCAGTTGGCTCAAGCGGATTTTCTTCAAACCATCACAATATGATTGAAAAGCTGCTGAGGAAAGTATTGGGTTTCTGCAACAACAGATATACATCATTACTGAGATTTGATTAGGATTAATTTTAATGAAACTTCTTTTTTAATTTTTGATGAAACAATTTAGTAAGCAAGAAGATTTTCTTTGAACCGTCACAATATGAAACGTTAAAAAACTATTTTTTCATTTTAACCTGAAAGACATAAAAGCACTTACTTTCCACAAAAAGTGAGATGGCAAGATTATAGAAAAATAAACTGAATACCTGATACGAATACCAAAAAATGGATCGTAAACTTTCAGCACATCTTTTGATGATGACTCGACAGCTCTTGTAATTTGCTCAGCTTTTCCTTGAAGTGAACGACGATTTTCTTGAACACCGAGTTCCTGTCTCTTCGTAGATTCCCTCTGAAGCAAATAGAAGATGTTACAAATTCTTTCGGATACAAAAAAAAAGATCCAGTTTTAAAATAAAAGTGACCCGATATTTAGTTAAAACGAGAAGTCACAATTAGTGTTAAACAAATAAAACAGTATGGTAAACAGCGGCCGAATTTGAGCTATGAAAACACTGCATTACAATCTAGAAATTGACCCGATATAAAGAGTCTGAATCATTCTCTTTCACTTCTTTCAACATCCGTTTGATATTTCGACCGTCGCCGCTGAAGTGGATTCTAAAACATTGGAAGGGTGAAATGAGCCAACTAAATGAAAGCAAGGAAAATATCACATTTTCCGGCAACTTAAGAACCAAAATGAAAAATCTAGTTGACTCACGCGTGATCGTTTCTATTCCATTCATCTTCGCTCGAGTTTGAGCTATTAGAATGCCACAAACCAATTACGTTATTAGTTTTCTTCTTCCGACCACTACTACCATCGTTCGCTTTAGAGCAGCCAAAATCTATTGGGATAAGAGATCGACTTGCTGGAATTTCATTACTGGAAAATTTAGTTTCATATCTTAAGGACGCAAATGTTTCGACTACCATTTGATTAATATATGACTTGCGATACTAACTTTGATATATATTTCACTTTTTTCTGCACCAGCAGATATAAATTGAAAGAGAACAGATCAGTGAAGAATAACTCACATAAGTAAGTAAAAGTTAGTAAATCCACAACTCGATATAAGACAATAAGCTCATCATCCGGCATAACGCGTAACTCATTAATTCTCACCAATTTTTTATATTTTATACTTACGTTTATTATTTGAACTAATTGCACCAACCGTCTCTTCGTTTTGTTTATCATTCGTCTTTTTCACTTCTCTGCCATCTTCATTACTGATGTTTGCTAATGTTTGTCCTTAAATTACAGAAATGATGCCAAACATTTACTAGAAAAGTACAAAAAAACGGACACATTCATTGAAGCAATTTAGTGTTATTCGCACTGGACAGATATTAATAAATAAATTGTACCATTAAAATAAAAAGAACTATGAAATGAACCTTTGAACTGTTCATCATCTTCAAACAAATTTAGTAATTCATGAAGTGTCCCGTTCATTGCCATTGTTTCCTTTGATCACTCACTTCACAAACATCCTATAGATGTACTAAAATCTTTATGATGTCTTTTAGGAAATGATATATCAATGAATATCGAACATATAAGACCATATAAGATCAATTAACATGTAACAAAGTGAGTCTCTAGCTATTTGACAGGTCAAATCTCAAATCATAAGAATAAGCTTGAAGAGTGATTGAAATTATACGGTGATATCATGGATAGAACGAAGTACATACGAGAGGTCAAGCATTAAATAGCGATCAACCACTGTCCAATACGCTTTACACGTCTTTTTCTAAGCAATTATCAATCACAATTCAAATTGCTCTCTCGCTCGCAACCAATCTTTCGTCACGAGACCTATACGTATGTGTGTTATGCACTACTACTGTAATCCTCTGATTGAAAGACAATAAAAGACTGTAATATCTCTCGGAATTATCCCGCGCTTACGGTACAAAGTATAGACTACGATACGAAATATGAATATAATATTAGCTGTAATCAAAGATGACGGTAAAAGCATAGAGATAATTAATGTTTGGAACGGGGATTTTCTAGCATAAATAAACTGCAGTTCGGCACTCAGACAGATATGGTGTACGAAATACTGTATCCTTATAACAGTTTCATTTTAGAGTTGCCACAGCTGTTCCATTTCTAGAATCCTTCCTAATGACATTCTTGAATAGACCTTATAACTTTTACATTTCTACATATAATCCTTATAATTTCATAGTTTCATTATTTCGCATTTCATTTGGTCAAAGTTGACCGGAAAAGTTTATTACCTGTTGTTGTAACGACAAGAGTAAGGAAATTTGTTTAATTTTTTCAATCATTAAAAAAATGAGAAACAAATTTAAACATTCCAACTTTGAAGGTCAATTTTTCTGCTTATCTAAACAACTAACAAATCAATATTAAAATATTAACGAGAATATTTTCCACTATTTTTAATCGGATCTTTGGATTTCAGCTAAAATTATTCTTGCGATAATGAAGTAAGTTTATCTTTAAGTGTATCTTTATAATAATGCATTATCATCTGAGATGATTCACTTGCTGTATCTAATATTACTCTGATAGAATGTTAGTCGATTGTTTATCGAATGTTAATAATAATTTAAGTTATGATAAGTAAAGCAGTTAACACAAAATCGTGATTATATGTGGCTAGAGGCATGAACTTTGTCATTTGGATAGTAATCAAACATTTCAAACATCAATTTCTCATATAATGTAATTGTGATGTGCCTAGAGTTACCCAATATTCTCTTTCACGTGATGTTTAGTTACTCTTAGGCCTGTTTAAAATGTCCGGATAAATACTTCCTCAATATCAATAAATTAATTAAAACCTGTAATGATAAATCATAGACGTAAAAACATACATACAAGATGGCATATTTAATGGTCTAATTGTTTAGAGAATAGTTAGGATACATTGTGATTTTGTTTAAAGAGTAAGTATACATAAGTTAAATAAATTGATCATTCATCGAATTTGTCATTTTCAAGAAACACTTGGCTCGATTTACTCATTTTCTTGTTTGGATAATAAGAGGAAGATAAGCAGAAAAAGATAATGTTAATCTTTAGATGAAAGATTAGCCAAATTTTTTCAAGAGACCTTAGAATGATTAGGCTACTTAATCAGAAGTATTAATTGAAGACTATCAATGCAATAACAAATGGTAAACGAAGAAAACAAAGATTCGCATTGATAGTTACTTGACAATTTGTTCATTTACATACAAATAACAAGCAAAAATGATAAGTTAATGAAATGTATGACATTGATATGACATAGTTAGATATGTAATTATGAATATGTCCATTCAAATACGATCAATTAGCTGTTCCGTAATTAACGTTACACGCCCTGAAATATATACATTTAGTTAGGAACAATTCGTAAGTATCATGTATTTCAGGAATCTGATCAAAGTAATATACCGGGATATTTTCTTGTTGCTACTGTATTTTCAAATAAATAATCTGGCATAGATAATATTTTTTTGGAAGTAATGTGTTTTCCTTCCTAAGATAAGGGTAAAATGAGCTTCAATGGAATGCTTTAATAAATTTAAATAAAAATAATACTTACAGCACACGTCAATTCACAATGCCTTTTGGTATCGAATCGATTTTGGCTACCACCACATCCTCGATAAAAGTAAAGTTTACAACGTTTATCACGATTACTGTAGAAATATTGTAAATTCGTTCGAGGAGGTGATTCGTCTTCTCGGCAAATACGACCTAAAATGTTTTTCTATTCTTTTTTGGCTGCATAAAATTGTGATTTGAATAAAATTTAATAGTGATACACAATTCAATTCATTATGCTAAGAGAGAAGAAGTTGTGATTGATTAAAAGAGATAAAAAAGATTATGAAAATGAGTGTAGCAGTTTGAAATAAGAAAAAATTAACCTTCATTAGGTTTCAAAAGACAGATACTTCGATCGGAAGTGGTTTTCTGAGCATATTCCAACGACTCAAATGGATCTTTTATCTCTCCAACATCAATTTGAACTTCGTTCGTTTCTGCTTCGGGAGAATCCGCATTATTCATCGAATTATAAAGTGCTGCAAATATTATTCTGTTAATATAAGCTATAAGGCACTATATACCGGATAACTCTATAAAATTTCTTGTAAACTAATTATCATTAGATTATTCAACATATCTCCATGACTACTCATCTTTTCAAATAATATTAAAAAATGAATAACTGGAAAAAACCTTGTGTTCGGAAAATGCGGTCATTTGAATTAAGCATCATTCGACCATAAATCTCACCTTCCAATTTCGAGTCTAAAATATACAATCATTCCTCTTTAATAGGTTGTCCCAAAGAGAGATGAATGAATTATGAATAAATTGAATTACCAGATGAACTACCAGATGGAGTGAGATTTTCGAAGGAATCTGTTGCTTCATCAGATGGAACGAAATTTCCATAAGAATCTGTAGTCTCTTTCCCGATTTTATGGGAATCACCTAAGCGTTTCACTAAAAAGAAGTTTACATGAATATCCAGCTACTGCATTGTGATACTTTAATTTATGAAAATTATCGCTGTAGTCGTTCAATAAATTTCCTTTTTATAATTTTAAGCAAAATATTATAAACGGAAAAACAAAAAAAGTAAATTATTCGTGGATAATTTAGTACCGGCTAGACGAGATGAGTATCCTTCACTAGGTTTAGCTATGTTCAATATTCCGGTTTCATCTGAAACAATAATTTGCTTAAGCAATTCATGATTTAATAACATGTTGCATTACTCGTAAAAAGGACATTGCATGTTCCGGCTAAATTATGTATCGTGTAAAAATTAAATTAGCCTTAATGATCTGTATATTGCCCTCAAAGTCTAAGTTGCAGATTTTATAAATTCTTGGACTAATGAAATTTCCGTTCATACATTCATGCATGTATCGATCATATTACTCTTTTTCAACATTATGAAAAAAAGTGCTTGAAAATAATTTTAACCAATATACTAACGCTGCTTTTGTGAAATATAATCGGATGGTAAGGATCCACGCGAAATTACTTCACCCGGATTTGAGGGTCGCAACCCAAAGTACGGTGGTACTCGTGGAGGAGGTGGAATCTTCACTCCGATTATTCCAAGCTGGCAGCATAATCGTCCTGCAAATATACAAAAAAAAATTTAATAAAATATTTTTTAATTTAGTCAATATATCTTCCAAAAATATCACCTTAACCCAACATATTCATTTCGACAAAATATGCATACTCTTCATTTGGATAACGTAAGATAATTTACAAAGTGTGATTATAAATGTGACATCAATAATTACTGAAATATTACCATTTCTTTCCGAATCGATAGAGCAATAATAGCCAAGAGGACAAAAGGATTCACCATCGTAACCTACGCCACATTTGAGTGGTTGTTGAGTAGATTCATCAAGTAGCGCATCCGAACCATCCGGACAAATGTTTTCTGGTACAAGCAACATTGGCGACTTCTCTGCCAAAGATAATAAATGATGCTTATAATAATTCATTGTATGTTTCACGAAAATGACTCTTTTTGGAAAACTTAGAAGCATTGATTTATGCATTGAATATCTTAACAAAGTAACAGGCCTTAATCCATACCTTCACTTTCTCTCTGAGTCTCCTCAGGTAGATAATCAGCATTTCTGCGTGATTGCTGTGGCGAAAAACGAATATTTTTTTGGTTTTTCTTTGTCACCAATATTTTTTCTGAACCTACAAAAAGTACTTAAAATATTTCATTGTTAAGATATAGCCTAATTCCTATTAAGCATTAAGCAACCATTTTAACTTAATGTAAATTCCAATTTCAAATGTTATTAAATAGATTTGAATGTTATTAAATAGATTCTGAGCATATCGTTACGTTGCTAAAGAGCTTAGGCACAAAAATTATAGTAACATGCAAAAGATCGTTGTTAAAGATAGTCTATCGTATTACTGGAACAGATATGATGCTACCTGGAAGGAATTTTTCGAGACAGCATACATTAGGTGGTCCCGTGAGACAATAATATCCTTTCGGGCACTCAAATGATCCTGCATCTTTACCGCATATCACCGGTGCGTTATCGCCAAATGGTAGCTCACCAAATGGACAGCTTCCCAGTGGTGCATCATCAATGTGTGAGTTATCTAAATTGGAAAGCACTTCATAAAAAATACTCTTGATTGAAAACGAAAGAGGAAGTGTTCTTCTCCTTCTATACTTGGCAATAGCTGTGACGTATGTGTGTCAAGCATAGCAATGACGTACGTGTGTCAAAAGTAAAAAGAGACAAAGCTATTATTAGAAAATATGCTAAACCAATTCTCACTAAAACTTAGCCACATGATTATTTCATTCCAACTTCTATTCCAATGTCTACAGGAAGAGAAAAAGTTCATTTCATTCCTATGTCAAACATACCACTTTTGCATCGTCGTCGACATTCATCCTCCGTGACGAAGTTATTCTCATTACCGCCACAGCCACTATAATAGAACAATCGACAGGTACTCGCTCTACGATCGTAGAAGAATCGAAGATGAGCTTCTGTGCAGTTACCCGTATTGGCATCTTGCATGCAAATATTATCCACTTGCCTACCATCACTACTATTTACTGCTAATGATGCTCTGGACAATGAACGTTGTACTTTGGCTGCAAATGATGAAGTAAAACAATTAAACTGAGTGTTAAATTCATCGTCCCATAGAATACAGTAAACTTCCGATTTGGGTTAAAAACTCTTATCATCAAGATGGACAAGTTAATGATCAAAAACACTGTCAAATAGCATTTGCAAAAAATGATAAAAAATCTCTTTCAATTCACTGATAACAGAAATCATTCCTTTTTCAATAAATAATAAATAGAGAAAATTGAATTCATATAAAATTAAACAAAAGTTTGTCTGCTGCACTAATAACATGCAAAATCGGAGCGATCAAATTACAAATGATCCAACTATTTAAAAGTCAAATATGAGTAACACTTAATTGAGCTATAATAAAATAGAGTAATTGACTAAAGTCTTAACTCTCGTTAATTTCACTTTTCATCTTCAATTATCTTCGAGAGAAGTGAACGAAATGTGATGAATAGATAAACTAACAATCGATTCGTGCAGCTGAAGAACGACTGGTGAACACCTGTGTTTGACGTTTCAGCCTAAGCTTTCGAACAATCAATTCATTACTTTTTATTGGTGTCTTTTTAACATTCTTATATCCTTGCTTTACTTCTTCACCATTATAACCTACAATAGATTCCACTTTTAGTTATCATTGTATGTTACAATTAATTGGTTTCAAAATATTCATTGAATAACGACAAAGATGAAACAATTTTTGAAGAAAAAGAAAATGAAGTCAAAAGTTTAAAAAATTAAAACCTCCAAATATGTGCTCATCGTATGGATCTTTGGTATTCGGACAACACAAGAAATCAACACCATTGAAGTAACAGACAGAGTTACCAGAACATTGATTTCTACCTGGCAAACACATCACAGGCCTACCATCTGCATGTTGTATTGGTTTAAGGCCGTTAGGACAATTAGGCATATGGTTTATACCATCAAAAATACTTGGTAGATCAACAAGAACGTCATTGTCTTTGTTTACAATTGTTTCTCCGAATATCTTCGCACTGTCAAATTTTCTTTCTGCAGTGGAAAATAATTTTTAAATGTAAGAAATTCTAAATCAGGAAGTTAAATTAAATGAAAAATGGGTGAGGATTAGTGTATTCTGATAATATCCTGATAATATTGAATAGACTTCTTGAGATAGTTTTCCTACTGAAGAAGGAAGAGATGAGACACAGAATACCACCTACCCATGACTTCATCACTGCTCTCATTCATAGCATTGGTAGGTGGTGATGGATCAGGAGATGGTTCCGCCACAATTATTGTTTCATTTGTTGATGTGTCCAAGCTATGAGAAAATTGTGCAGATCTTGTTGGTATAGGTGACCGTGACGAAATACTTGATGCCGTAGGATGTTGCTTTGAACTAAATTGCTGTATTTCCTTATCACCGACCGAACCATTATTTGGTATTATCCTGAAATCCGGAATTGTTTCGATGCCATTATTGAATGAAAGTGCATTGGAAGCAATGAAATATATCGAATACCTGTGATGAGGATTTTCAGCAGTGTTGTGGGAAATATTATAGGCATGGTTCTCTGATATTTTATCTGTTCCAGTAATTGATACTGTTTGTGTTTGGTTTTCCTGATTTCGAGATGCAGCAAAATCTGATTGAGGATGACCAGTGGAATTAATTTTTAAAGGATGTGCAATTTGTTTGGTAGTTTTGCCATCCGATGCTAGAAATAAGAAATGCTATATTGCTTGCTTACTTGATATTTGAAGTACTAAATCGTGCTTCTGAAAATCAAACAAATTTGAAAATAGTACAATTTGCTAGGAATGTATTCTGAAAAGTATGCGTATGTATGCTTCTACTATTTGAAATATGTCAAATCATGTGATGTAATTAAAACTTAAAATAAGTTTTTATTAATTTAAATTATACTGACGTGTGCAGAAGGTTTGACATTCGGCAAACGTTTCAAATTGATTCGAATTGCCACCTTGGCCTTGGTATACCATCTGTTCGCATCGTAAATTACGCACGTTGTAGTACCACTTGACGTTGTACCCGTTGCTATAACCCTCATCTTTTTTGTAGGTGCACCGTTCCGGTAACTGAGACTTAATCGAATCGTCTATAAAGTCTATTGTACATATCTATAAAGTCTATCTTACATACCCGCTTGCACAACTTCGAGGTGAGGAAATTTCGATAGAAAAGCAATGGCTTCATTATGGTTGTAAAATTTCTAAAGTTGAAGTTGTAAATTGAAACATACCTCGCGAGCATTTTGCTTCACAAGCTTGCCTGTCAAGAAAGTTATTACTGTTACCACCGCATGAGCCATATGAGAATTGTTCACATTTGCCAGTTTGTGAATTGTAGAACCAACGAGGTATATAATCACGGCAAATACCAGCATCTGGAGGTAACACGCAAGTGTCATCTTCCTCAGGTTGCAACTGTTGCAATGAGGTAACACCATGTACTACTGCATGAGGTGTTGTCTCCGGTGTTATTTGCGAATCCGAAATATTTTGTTGGTTAAATATTTCTGATTCCATCTTCTCCTGATGCACATTCACAGTGGTTTCATCTCTTTCTACATCATCAGTTTCACCTGCAAATTGAACTCCAATTAGGGAGCTTTTGTTCAGTTTATTCTTGAATCTTCCTGTACTTCCTTTTATTCAGGTCAGAAGGTAATGGTCAAAAAAGAACCTTGTTTAATAGTTGTCTGCAAGGGGATATTCTGGGCCATTTGTATATCATGTGCAGCGGTGGATTGCTGACTTGCAATTTTATCGAGATTTTCCATAGGTGATCGCTGTAGCTCTTGGTGCTTTAAGGAGTGCAAATTGTGACCCTCTACAATATTTACCCTATAGTCTTCATGCGGCAGTATATCCGTCTGAGAATTTGAAGGTGCAAAAGAAGCAGGAATTTCTGCAGATGCCCTTGGAATGGTGGTTACAGAATGATGCAAGATTTCATTCTTTGGCTTTACTGACATGTTATTGAAATCATGTACTGATGATGATAAGCCTATCATTTCCGTTTTTCCTTCACTTCTTTCTTTTTTTGCTTCTCTTGTATCGTTTGAAATAAACTCTGGCTCTTCCGTTATAGTGTTAATATTACTGTTTCTAATCCGTTCAAGCGATAAAATAGCAAGAGTTTGATTTTGAAAATTAGGAGCATCCATAAAAATCGATGAATCAGCGTTAAAGTAATTTTCTTCGGATTCCTTCATGGATTTTCCCAATTGTCCTACTGACTTCTCCGTTTGAAGCTCAACGCTGCTGATAGTAGTATCCATCGCTGCATTCAACGCTGCATTCGGTGATAAATTCTGAATAGAAGTTAGTTCTGTCATCAGATTACCTGTTCGCATTGGTGGTATTTTCGATGTATTCATCATAGTTGTTGCCAGAAGGAGATTATTATTGTTGTTAATAGCTGTTTTAAATGTTTCTAGAGGAAATGTGCCTGCAGATTCAAAGGAGCCGAATGATAACTTCTTTTCTGCTAATTCTTGTTGTGAATATTGCTCCGGAAAAACCTTTGAGTTCATGGTCGATTGTAAACCATCATAAAGCCATGATTTGCCGGATGGAATAGGTTGGCTAAGAATTCCCATTGAAGATGGAATGGACGGCTCAAGTGACCCTTCTATCCTGTTGTCAGCGATTGCTATCATTTTAGAAGCTGACGTGATATTGTTATTTGTAGGAATGGCCGTATTGGAAGAAAAAGTGATGTGATTGATGGATTTCATTGAAGAGACTGAAGTAGGCGCAGAATGAGTATTATTTAAGGTGATCGACACAGAAGCCAAAGATGGAGCGGCATTTTCCAATACTGATTGTGCAGTTTCACCAGACGAAGTAGTTGTGGGAATGATAGTGGACATTAAAAATTCATCGGGTAGAGAATTCTGTAATATTGTATCAATTTTGTCAACGATTTTGTGTCCGTCAGGATCCATGTTCCATTCCTTAGGAATTATTGGTGAAAGATCGGGTTTTTTTCGAGTAGTGATAATAGCATTATCATTAATGCTATCAGTGATAATGTCAAAGTCATTTAATGTCGCTGGTAGTGTCACTTCATTTTCGCTGTTTAACGCAATAAATTCTTGACCCTTATGCTCACGCGTATTAATGTGCATTGCAGCAGAGCCATGCGAAAATTCTTCAGTATTTGACGGGACAATCCCCCCATCAATTGCATGCTTGAGATGTGTGCCCCGTGCTCCTGAAATGATAACGTGCTTTGTGCATGCATTGATAGTGTTGCGATAAAAAGATAGTTCCCTATTCATGCACTATCTTTATTTTCAGGTAGTAATAAGAAAATGCTTCTATTTATAGTTCAATAGTAATTGTTAGAATTCATTACTTTTGACTTAATAACTTTAAAGATAACTTCTACTATATCTTTAATACAGGATTCTTAACTACCCATCAGGAAAATTAGATTGCTTAGGGAGAGGGAAAAAGCATTAAAACCACTCGAATGATATCCGATTAAGACAATCATCAAATGTTCAGGCTTTGGCTGTTCAATTTCCGATTACAAAGTCTTAGTATCTATAACTTCAAAAATGGATAATTTTTAATTGTTTATATTTGAGGATGAAACAAAACAAAGTATTATTAGTTCAATTTATAAACATTAAACTAAAATAATAGTTAAAAGAGCATCTTTAAATGAAACAAATTTATTGATGAAATTATTTAGCAATGTGATGTCATGCGCTATTAATTAGTTTTACAAGGCTCGCTTAGGTTCTTCCCACAATAAACAAGCAGTTTTTTCCGCGGGTCATCTCTTTCATTTGTTTTTGCAATTCCTCACTAAACTTTACTTCCGATTCCAGTTTAGTATTGGGGTTTGAATTTTATCAAATAAAGGTAGAATACTTCAGTGCGATGAGCTCACCGTTAAAACTTTCATTCTTATCTGGTATACTACGGTGGGACATTTCTTCAAATATGTTAAGATGAGCTTCGGAAGGAATTAGCGGCGATGACAATGATGATGAGAGCAATGAAGTTGATGATGATAATATTAACGGTGGTGTAGTTGATGAAGATGGTGATGAAATTGTTGGCGATAAAGTCGGTAGCGATGAAGTTAATAACAGAGGTGGTGAATTTGATGACAATGGTGATAATGAAGAAAACGCTTGCAATACAGAACCGCGATTGATGATACGAACGTGATGTCGTAATACGGAATCACGGTTACTCTGTCTCAGCACCGTATCTTTAGCAACTGTGACTGCATTGTCATATTCTTTGTGAGGTAATTGAGTATTTATAAATTGAGAGCTAATTTTCCTGCTGCTAGAACCGTTAGTGACCTCGGCTGATCGATTGTGTTTCTTCAAAGGCTCATTTACGCTGTTCACCTGCATATGAATCTCATTCTTAGCTTCAAATCTTGGAGAAAACGAATTCATCGATGTTGCTATTTCATCCGAAATCAATCTTCCGCCATTTTGGTCAATAGGGATTTTGTAGCCATCACTCACTAAGTTATCGAATATGCTATTGCTAATTAGTGCTTTATTAATTATCGTATTTTCTATCCTTTTCTTAAGCTCTTTCTCGCGATCATTCGTTATCATCCCAGTTATTTGCTCATCGCTTGACGTTTTCGAATTCTGTGTGGTAGTATAATCTATAAACGTCTGATTTGCAATCTGACTGTCGAGCAGGTTTGAAATTAATGAAGTAATATTTTCTATTTTCTCGTATTGCGTATCATGTCGTAATATCTGTTGTTGCGGTAATATCTGTTGCAACAATCCATTCTGCTGTTGAATTTGCAAGACATTAATTTTTTGAGTCGTGCTCTGGGATTGATTCTGTTGAAGGGCTGAGTTTTCTCTATTCCACTCAGAGAGATTCATCGATGTCGAAACGTCTTTACAGGTAGATTTCATATGAGTGTCCATCTTAACTTTCTGAACTGGTATAATCTCGGATTTTGATGCATTACTGATCATCTGTGAAGCATCATTTTGAACTTTGCTGAAGACTGTTTTGTCATCAATTTGTTGGCGGTGTACGTCTTGCTGTTTAGTGGCTTCCGTCGATATCTGTTTATCGTCATCGACAATAGTTTGGTGCTGAGTGTTGCTATCTGGTACCAAAATATCTACCTTATGTTCCAGAGAAACGGACCAAGGTTGCTGCTCTCTTGCAGAACTTTTTGCAAAGTTTTGAGATATCATAGCATCAAGGTGTTCATTCTGCATTGCTATACCACTACCATGTTGCAGGGAATGCAAACCATTTAATTCTGTATCGCCTTCCAATTTTACTCCGGCATATCTTCCATTTTCTGGATCAGATTCAGCTACATGCTTCCAGGAATTTGCTTTCATAGGCGACGGTAGATCATTTAAGGAAGAACGATATGCAGGGCTTTCTTGATTATCAGTGATATCTTCGTATTCAGACTCGTTTAGTATTTCGGCTGATTGCAACTGCTCGATAGTGTCATGTCGCGCGTGTAAGGCATTTTGATAGGCTACTATTCTTCTACGGCCTGTGCGTCTATCTAAACAAATGCTAAAACTTATTTTTGATTTTTGCGTCCCTCAAAGGTGCTCATCTCTATTTGCATAAGGGATTTATCTTTACTCAGCAAGAAAATGATATGGAGCAAATAACTCCAAGGATAAACGCAATCTAGTTTAGTTTGATGAAAGCAAAGAGCATCATAGAGCTAAGCCAACTTCAGATGATATTTTAGCAATGAAGCGAGCCTTTCCTAATCATAACCCTTTCTTCTTTGTTTGCTAAATATTTGATGCAGTGACCAAAGAATGTGCAATTGAGTGCAATTAGGAGAGCTTATTTGCCATGCATCATTGAGAAACTTTGCTGATATAAACAAACTTACTGAAAAATCGGGCGCAATGAATCTCACACTCGTACTTTGAGAAGAAATGATTTCGATTGCCAGCACAACCGCCATATTGGAATGATTGGCATAGACCACTCTCTATGTCGAAAAACCAACGTTCGATGAAGTTTTTGCATGGCCCTGCGTCCTACAATTTCGTCTAATAAATAGCATCACAATAAAATATTTATAGTTGGCAGAAGAAATCATGAAGTGTTCTAAGGTAAATCACATTCCTTGTTCATCCTGAAGATACAACTTCTGAAGTTAAAGATGATTTTATCATTTGTAGCTTTAAAATTCAAAAATTTTTTGATTCAATAAAGTACCATGGGCTGTGAACATTTTTCACCCAATTCGGCTACGGAATTTGTTGGAGAGATCTTTTCTGGATGAGCCGTTGATTCGTCTTTCTTTTGCACTTTATTTTCTAAAACTGTTGGCAAGTTTTCATCGAAGCAACTTCAGTTTGGCAGTATAATTTATTAGTTCTAATCTTTAAGAGCTATTGTTGCATTCGTCATATTCTTTACAGTTGCGTGCCAAAAAGCTCGTGTTAAATAAAAACTAGAGGAAGAACTTACGAATAAATTGTTCAGCCTCGAGAGCTTTAGATTCATCTATGGGTGATGTGCCAGACGTTGTCGCAGAAGAAGTCGATGCAGAGTGTGCCACCGGACATGTGCACTCATGACAGCCACGGCGGTTCGAGAACAAAATACACGGCTCTACACACAATGATACATCTACCGCGGGACATTGCACTGATACATTCGGTTGCCCTGTAATGGTCAACATATATTGATAAACAATGAAAAAAGCGATTGATGAAACATAGCAATTCTGGTGATTAAACAGTGTGATCGAATGAGGAATACCCAACTGTCATAAGTTTGAAATGATAAATAAAGCGTCTAACCTTGAATACACGTTTCCTTGCATTCAGCTATAGACCCGAAATTATTCCCATTACCGCCGCAACCACCGTATGTAAATGGTCGACACTCATTAGCTGCTAAATCATATGCGAATCGCGGGAAAACACCCGAGCATTCGCCTACTTCGATTGGATGTTCGCAGATATTTGTTGAAAGAGTTGGTCCTAAATAAATGCTTACATTTCTTTCAATTATGTACCAATGTATCTGCTAAAAAAAAGAATAAATCGCTGAAAAGACTGATCGGTCTTTTAGTGGAATCTGTTAAAGATTACCGTGCAGATGGACCATATCAAATGACAAGTATTCATTTGTTTTCTGGTCATGTTTTGACCAAACATCTCCTACTATTCTCTTGCTATCAAAAGTAAAATTAAGATTTATAACACAAACTATGTGTAGTGCATTTATTGCGACACTCCAAGGAACTTCCGAAATTATTCCCATTACCACCACAGCCAGTATATGTAAATGGTCGACAATCTCCGATAGTGGAATCGAAGGCGAATCTTTGGAAGACACCAGTACAATCACCGGGATGGATACTATGCTCGCATACATTGCCGATATTGGATATTGGCTGCGCTGCAAACAATGAAAATTTTTATCGTAAGGATAAATGTTCAATGAAGTGTACCGCATTGCAACTGTATGAAAAATTAAAAATTACGAGGTTTATGGCACGCAGCAAAGCAATCTTCTCGGTTACGGAAGTTATTCCCATTTCCGCCACATCCGGAGTAAGTGAATACCTGACAAGTATTTCGTTCTGAATCCCAATGCCATCGAAGAAACTGTCCAGTGCAAGTGCCTCGATCAAGTTTTTGGAAACATCGATCACTACCTTAGAACAAGTAATTACGATATTCTCTTCTTTGATACAGTTAAAAAAAAACTATTCCCGAAAATAGCGATTTTACATATTCTAAATTTGACCAAAAAATATCTCTTACTTTCAGTTGGTTGTGGTACTGATGATTCCGTTGCTGAAGATGTAGTCAATCGTGAAGTAACGGTAGTACTAGAAGATAAAGAAATTGAAGAAGTGGATGATGGTGTAGTAGATGATGGTGTAGTAGATGGTGGTGTAGTAGATGATGGTGTAGTAGATGGTGGTGTAGTAGATGATGGTTTTGATTTGTTGGATAATCTTTCTTCTCTACCAGTTGTTGTACTAGGATGGCGTGTCGTCGTTATTTCTGATGTCGATGAAAACATTTTGACCTGTTTTCTGCAAAAGATAATCTGTTGACTTTGTAAATATGGATAGAACAAGAAGGGCTGATTTCAGAGTATGTTAACTGCAAATCCTTAATTGGATTCTTTGGATCCTTAATTGGATTAATTGGATTCAGGAAACAATCAACAAATAAGCCGTACCTGTTGGATAGTTGCTGACCAGTAACTGCAACTGATTCGTTTGAGATTTTCGCATTTCTATTAGATTCATTGTTGGAAGCGATGAATTTCTCGGAATTGTCAAATGTCGAAATTGTAGTCTCATGTTCAAGGGTTGTGAAATCAGTTATTATATCAATATTACTACTATTCAATGGTGTCTTTGTTTCCTTTTGCCTGCTCTTATGGACATCTTCATTGATTTTTTGAGACAGATGTAGCTTACTTTGATCAGTATTGGTAGCAGATAAATCTTTACTTGTGGTTGGGCGATCATGAGGTACAGTCGCCGAACTGGTATCTATTTCTGTGATTTCCGAAATAGCTTCATTAGTACTGGCATCAGCATCGATGTTTTCTATGACATCCGAAATACTGCTTATATTATCATCTCTATCTGAAGTAACGCTAGAAATCAATTCCACCAGTTCGTTCTCCTCGCTTTTAGTTTTTTTGACAGTTTTTGTTCCGAATTCTTTGCTAAGCTTTCTCATCTGTGGACCCGACGTAATCAGCTGAGGTGCTGATACTATCGATACTGCAGAAACTTTTGCTCCACCTGAAGGCTACGGCAACTTATAATATTTAGAAATACTTGCAATTCATCATTCAGGAACGAAAGAAATTTCACTCCTTTCAGATGCAGTTTAGGTAGTCATTGTACTAAAATAATCGGCAAACATGTTGTAAAATTAAAAAAGTAGTAAAGGATAATAAAGATAATGATGATGTCAATATATGGAAGACATAATTGTAATGCCGATAATGATAATATCAAAGTGGATCGGGAAAAAAAGTGAACTAACGTTGTCGGCAAATACGTTCACATTCTTCTACCCGTTCAAAATTATTTGCGTTGCCTTCACATCCGCCGAAGAAAAAATATTTACATTCATCAAGACGATTATTGTAATAAAATCTCAGTTCAAACTGATCACAAGGACCCCGTTCCTTTGGAAGTTGACAAATATCGGATGCGACATCTAAATATGTATTAGCCGTTTCCGAATCATTTAAAAACAATATTTGACATACAGAGAGGATATTTCTTCTTAATCGAAAAACGAAACAAATAAAATATAAAAATCAAATAACACTTTCATCTGTTTTCCTGTTTAAGTATTCTTTTTGTGTAATATTAATAAATAGGCTTACAGTATGCTGCCACCTTCTTGCCTTCCCACATTATACTTGGAACAAAACTTACTGCTAGAAGTACTGATAGGGCAACAAGTTGACCCTAATTGCGCAATGGAGCATAAGTAACCATCAGGGCATGCACTTTCTTTACAGTTGACCAATTGACCGCTTTCATTCCTCAATGGTTCCAAGCCATCTTTGCATTTCGCTTTATTGTATGCTGCTGGTTTGCATTGTTTCTCGCATTCTACTCTGGTCAGATAATTGTTACCGTTACCACCGCAACCTGACCAATTAGTTATATTTTAATGTCAATATTACATGAAAATTTATTACTCAATTTTGAACACTTTCCTTTGAAAGCTTACATTCAAATAACTTTTAAAAATTACTTCATCCATCTCATCTTATAGCTATGTTTCATTTAGGAAAAAATGAGTCGTAAATTTTTGGATTGATAGTTTTTTTTTGACTCCAATTTCAGGAAAAACGGAAGCCAGACGTATCCTATATGAAAAACCTGATAATTCTAGTCGTTAAATTATTTCATTTGATTTACCAGTTAGATACCCAGATTTTATTGCTGATCTGTAATTTGTTATGTTAAATTAAAAAAGAGAAGTACAAATAATCCACTAACCGGAATATTCGAATTGAACACATTGTTGTTCACTATCGTCATAATACCATCTTGCGAACGCTGCACTACATGGTCCAGAATCCACCGCTGACAAGCATTCATTGATTAATGGTTTCTGTACTTTTATAATCTCTACAAATGGCACCGATTTAAGTTTCAATTTGATCAATGCAATTGTGAAAAAGAGCCAAAGGAGGTAAGTGACAGATAGACGAAGGGATGAATAATTGGAGATGATGAATCATGCAGGATAAATGAAAAGCAAACGTTTGCAGTTCGGTTTCATTGTGCCATTGAACTCTGAATTCGGTATTTTAATACCATTATGATCCACGCAAAAACATTTCTCTCCTTTCGTTACGCACTGCAGTGGTCGAAAGGAACCATCAGCGGTGCAAATTGGAATAAAATCACTTTTGATAAGACCTGATTCACTTGCTTGTCTGCGCCTCTCACATTCTTAAATTGTAAGATTCATTGCTTTTTAATTTGACTATTAAAGTGTTAAAGAAAAAAACTGTAAGCTGAAGTATGTTTAAGTTTACTCGATATTTATTATTAAGATTAGCTTAGCACTAAAATTACATACCAGTAAGTAATTTGTGAGGCGTATCCTTTTGAACGGCAAATGCAGCTCGTTGTGATGAAATTGTATGAGTGTTCTCAAAAAATGGTTCCGACGTAGTACTGACCTGTTTTTCAGTGCTAGTACCAATATCAGTATCACTATCAGTAATTTTATTGCTTAAAGAACTTGTTGATTTTTCTATCATATGAGCATTTTCAGTTGCAGTATCGCTATTGTTCGACTCGTTGAGACAGGCCTTCTCACATTCCTCCTTGTATCTGTACAGTATCGGTTCATTTTCATCATCTGCGCAATGTCCTGCAATTTGAGCCTATATGTATTATCAGGCTCTTCGTTTTTAAAAATTCCAAGCATAACTTATATTTATTTCTACTATTCTTGTTGTGCGAAATCAGTTATATATCACAAATAATAAAGGATCATTTATGTAACTTAATAATGATATATTATTACCGAAAGGATAAGAAACGCATTCTTTGTCCCTGAGATAATATCGTAGCACAAATTGTGAACGTGTTGGACTTTTGCCTTTAGTGAAAGGACATCGACCTCGAAAAGGTTGCCGTTTGCAAGGATTTACACTATCTGAATTAATAACTAGCAATAAGTTTTTATTTCTAATTGATGATTATTCGAATGGTACCAAATAGTGACCAGTTCCTCCTACCAAGTAATACCAAAACTATTTCGCCATGCAGACCGTATCAAGTAAATAACAGGATCATTAGAACCATCCGATATGTAACATTGAAATTCTTTTCTGCATCGTAACCAGAGCTGAGTCTATTTTACTCTTCAACTCCATCGAAATGACCATGCATGAGAAAACCAAAATTCACTCATCATTCTTTACAAAATTACTGTATACGATCTTTGCATTCATTAAGTAAGATTTAAATCAAACTGACTTAAACTTGCCTGTTTTAGTTGCCACAGCAGTGATACAAAAAAGAATGACGAAAACCACTAGGGCCAGCAAAGCCTTCATATGCCCGATCTATCGATCTCTAAAATTCTCATGATAAGAAATCCGTTAAGTTCATACGTCAATGTTTGAACGCAAATTTAAATTTGTTTCGTTTTAATCTCCATCATCGCAGATTGTCAACATATTTGTCATAGTTGATTAATATTTATCAATTTTTCTACCTATTGGTAATGTAAATGACCATAATTGAATCAAGGTAATATAAATGACCACAATTGGATCTTTGATGTTCAATTTTTCAAATATTTGAAATAAAATAATTTTTAGTGATGTTACAGTATGTTATTCCACCTAACGAGTTACAACGATGGTTCTCTGAAGCTTCATATTATTAATTACAATCTCAAAGGTTTCTTAAGGTTTTTAAAAATAATTAAATTAACATTCTTCATATTGTTTGGAAGATAACGGTGCTAGATAAAATAACAAATGAAAAAATAGGATAGGATAGGATTTATATTTTGAATTACATTCATAAATAATTCAACAGTATCTCGTAGTTCCATTATATTTGAATAATCAAAATAAAGAAAGGCAGATCAACAATTGGTTAAACCTATTAATAAGTCTCTCAGGAAATGAGTATAAAAAGATTTCAAGGAATAATTGTTGAATGATATTAGTGGAACAGATGAATTTAATTGCAAAATATTGTTGTGAACTGAATCAATGGCTGATAATAAGAAATAATTTAATGTTAGAATAAATTTTGTACACAATTTTTTGCCCTTTTTTTTTGCTCATTTTCCTCTTACAATCATAGAATCCTACGTTTTACCACATATTTATTTGGTTAATTATTAGAAGAAATTAGGACATTTTAATCAATGAATACATTATCAATTTTATGAACCGATCCCTTTCGATAGGAATTTAATGAATCATTATGTTTAGAAAGCAATTTAAAAATGATGAAATCTAGTCTAAAAGCTCAATCGGTATTATGTTAAGGAAGGGGTCATTGACGAGAGGGGTTTTGATGGCCATCTAAGGAATGGATACATCATTCACGTTAGAATCTATGTTACGGCATACGTAACTGTGACCCTGACCTACTATCACTAATCATTTCAGCAATTTAACAAATGATGATCAGAGAGATGATGGAATTTAATGAGATGAAGAAATGAGAGAGGAAGGTAAAAACATCACGGATATCTGTTTTATCACAATTTAGTGAATACTGCAAAATTCAAAAATTCATCCACTCCTTTTTTTTTCTCCAAGATATTAACGTAATTCTCTATGATTTATATACAGACTATTTGAAGAACGTTGAAAGCAAGCGTATCCTTACTTCATACTTTCCACAATTCCATTAACGGACAGCAAATATTTCTTTTAATTTCATTTATGTAAATGTAACAAAAATTACACAGCATCCATTTGCTATATTTGTATTACATCTATTTTGGGATATGAATAAGTTCAAAAATTGTGACAGTTCAAAAAGACATTTCTATTATGCCATGTTTACTTTGAATCTAATATGATAAGCAAACTTTTGTAAAAAGTGTAGCAAAAAAAACAATAGAAAGATATTGGTTAAAAATTTTTGAGAATAATTGAAAATGGTCATTTCGTAGGAAACATTTTATTGCTGCTGCTGCTGCTACTGTTGTTGTTGTTGTTGTTTGCTGAAACGGAAAGAAAATAAATGAATCGGATGACCTAAAAGTAAGAAAAGGTAATTATTGTTCATGAATACTGAACCAGTTAGTATTCATAAAAGTTTCCTCTGGTTAAAATTTTGTCATATATTTTGATTGCAGAAGATATATTATTCATGAATATATAGGATACGATGGATACGATAAATTAAGAAAATGAATAATAGAAGAATTGAAATTGAAGAGAATGGATGAGCAAAAAAAATTGAAATACAAGTTAATTATTTTCGTTTTACTTTTTTCTAATGATACGATAATATCGGATAAAAGTTTGAGCGAAATTTAAAAATGAACGAATGCCGTGGGAAAGATTTCTTTTCAGTCATTTCAATAATTATCAATTAAGAATTTTAAACCCAAATTTTCCACTTATTAATAATTGAAAGTTTTCAAAATTTCCATTGCTTAAATAAACTATTATTATCCGTGAAAGTGATGATATGTATATAAGAAGAAATGTAAATGGAAAATCTTAAATGATTTGTTATATTCTTTAAATGGCACAAAAAGTTACGGGCGCAGCTGTCCCGTACTATTTCACATCGCTCTTTTACATCTCATTAAATCCATCCGTGCGCATATTTCATCGAAGATTTTCAATTTTTTTCTCGTTATTTTCTAAATTCGCACATTTCACAGCTATTACATGTATTTGCATGTGTGTGTGTGTGTGTGTTGTGTGCATATGTGAATTTATGTATGTGTGTATGTGCATGTATATGTGTATTTATAATTGCATGTGTATGCTTGTGTGTTTGTGTATGTCACAGCTATTACATATATTTACGTGTGTGTGTGTGTGTATATATATATTTATTATTATATGTAATAGATGTATATATTATTATATATGTATGTGTGTGTGCATATGGGTAATTTTGTATGTGTATGTGTATTTATATGTGCATGTGTATGCTTGTGTGTTTCTGTATGTATTTGCATGTATTTGTGTATGTGTATGTATGTATGTGTGTATCTGCTGTATTTTATTGTGTGTATGTTTTGTAGACAGATGTGATATTGAAACTGCTGTGTCAACTGTTAAGTTTAATTTAGGTCATTGGGTAGTAATAGCATCAGTGTCATGTAAATCATACGTAAATATTTTAATGAAAATGATCAAAATGAAGGAAGTAATAGTTTGCGCCAACATTCACAACTTCTAGATTATCGTTGTGAAGTCAATAACCCTCTCTTTCCTCTTCTCTTCTCTCTTTTCTTTCCTTCATCAATTTCCTTGATCGTACCCATATCGACCTTCTCCGTAACCTCCAAAATGAACGAAAAAAAAAGTTGTATAAATGCGGTAAAAAAGTACGATAATGATAATCTATGAATTTCGATATTTTTGAACGATAGAATCTTATGAAAAGATTATTGATCGGGTGATTTAAATGTTTGAAATTTATTTATTTACTAATTATTTCGGGAATTTTGAAGCATTATAAAGTATTCTGATCGATCATAATGATGTATTGATCATTGTGATCGATTAGAATCAATACATATCTCACTGTATCTCATTTGCGCCATCTAACAGATGACAATGAAAGAAAGGAGCGAGAAATTTTGTGGTATTTTGTCATCTCTTCCACAAAACTTTTTTTTTTAATTTGAAGCTATGAAATAAATTTCGATGATTGATTTTATTCAATGATTTTGACAAATAATTAAGCGAGCGTGAAATTTATTATTGAATGAATCAATTCTTTAACCCAATTTTTCTATGAAAAAATAAATCCCAAAATTTTCTGTGAGAATTGGATTAATTCATAGACAGAAATTATTAATTATTTGACAGCCAACAAAATTGCGAAAAAAGCCTTAACAAAGAAATGGAATGTTGCATTTTCATCATCCTCTAACAGTGAAATTGGAAAAAAAATTTTTTAGAATAAAATTCAAACAGGAATATCTTTAAATCCATGGATATTTAAAGTGAATCATCAAAATAAAAGGATAGAAATCTTCGGGTTTCTTTCCCTTAGGTTATCCATTATATTCAAATTCAAATACTGACCTGCATGATATAATGATATATTATTCACTTTAAACGGAATCATTTCCAAACTTCCTCTCTTACCTCTCACATGGGAATATAAATAAATCCTCTCTTACGGTTTTATTGCCCTATCATATCAGAATACAACATAAAATTGAAATTTCAAATGGCGGATACTTTTCTAAAATTTTATGATTGGGAAAAAAGAGAAACGAACTCGACGGTTTACATATTTTGACAAAATTTAAAATAGTGAAAGTAAATTTTATGAAAAATTGATATAAATATAATAAGCAATACGTTTAAATAAATATATCCAAAATGTCGTATGGAAATAATTTGAAAAAAAAATAGATAGGGTTCGATGATTAGAGATGGGAAAAGTGGGCAAATAGGACAAAGTTTAAAAAGATGAATCTGAATTAATGGAAAAAAACGGGTGGATGGAATAAAGAGAATGATGGTAAGCAAATTGGAGGTGAAGAAAGTGGGTGGGAAATAAATAGTATCTTATCAGATAAANGGGCAAATAGGACAAAGTTTAAAAAGATGAATCTGAATTAATGGAAAAAAACGGGTGGATGGAATAAAGAGAATGATGGTAAGCAAATTGGAGGTGAAGAAAGTGGGTGGGAAATAAATAGTATCTTATCAGATAAAAAAGTATAGTGATAATTAGGTCAAATAAGACTTAAAATGAGAAGAAAGCCTTTTCCAACCCTCTTCCTTACAGTAGTCGAAGTTTAAATTATAATCGGCAAGAAGAGATTGAAAATGATATCTGAGATAAAATGCGAAGGGTTTTAAATTCATGCATTATACCATTTGAACCATTCCACTCAATGATTATTAAAGCAATAATGAAGTGGACAAAGCTAAACTGAAAAAGAGAAGTAATAGTCAACAATCAACTGGTAGAATGATCATTTTACCGATATGTCGAATAAATGAATATCAATTTTATTTTTCAAGCCTTTCAGCTATAATTTTTCAAGAAAGTCTGATATACTACTGACCAGTACCCATAACAATCATAATCCATTCATCCATCTATTTACTGATTCATATCATCTCGAGATAACGATTATAATTAAGATTGGCAATGCATAATTTATGACTGAATTAGATGAAATTAAACAATCTAATCAATTATCTAAAAATGGAAAATTTACAACCAAAAAAGACAAGAATTTAAAATTTCGTCTATTATTATTGGTTGCTTCCAGAAAATGGAAATTCGTAAACTTCAAAGAATTAAATTCAATTAATTGTTATTCTTTCAACTTCCTACTCATTATGTAAATTTCGCGCAGTTATTGTTATTTTATTGATTTGTAAGAAGAATATGCGACAATTGCACAGCCCGAAGGATGTATCGCATGGTCATTTTATCATTTCTTCTGCAAATGTTGTTATGTGTGCAGTTACATCTGTGCCAGAAAACAAATGGTACTATACCACCACTTAGAAAACACGATGCAAGGGGTTAGTACTAACATTTATTTATTTAGCAATTGTCAACGATGTAGCTAAGCTAGTCAATTAACTTGATCTTGAAATATCACTAGTAATTATCGGGATTTCTTTCAATTTTCAAAACTCTTGTTTTGACATTCAATGACCGAATATTATAGCTATTATAGAAATTAACTTCTTTCAATCAGATCTTACATTTAATTCATAATATATGATGGTAAACAATGAGAGCTTAATTAATTCATTAACAATGAAATGGAGAATTCGTTTATAATCATATTTTTCTTTCAGGATTATTTGTAGCACCACATTGCTGTGAAGAACCGTGGTTTTTCGATCCAAATACAGGACAATGCATTCTAAACATGGTATCCATTTTTCTCCTTTACAAATAGTATTAATGAATCGATAATAGCGGATGAAAACAAAAGTTATAATTGTTGATAATGTTTTGTTAATTAAGTTGACACAAGGTGTAAATAATGAAGAAGATATGGCATTGTTGTGTACAGATGTTGGATTTGAACTGAAAGAGAAAAAATGTATCAGATATGTCCGTTTATGTAAGCTATTCTTATCACTTATCTATAAGGAATATTACTACTTACCGAATATTATTTGATTAAATGAATGAAAGCTTATGCTGGCAAATAAGTAATAAGTAACTTAAGAAATTAATTATTTTTCAGTGTACAGATATGAGGCAGCGAATTAATGATTAAGAAGTGTTAAATGAAAATTCTTTGATTAAACAATGAATTTCAATGTACTTCATTATATTTGGCAATTTAATTCTTATCACAAATTCAATTTAATATAACTAAGTTGAAAATTTCTGATAATTAATGCTATCACTGCTTGATAATTTTGTTCGTACAGAATAAAATCTCATGATCTTCAATAATCCATGAATTCTTAATTGAATTTGTTACTCTTTGCATGAAACTTGAATTGTTTAATCGGTGATAATTTCTATATCACCCGTTGTTGCCACGTTATGTCATGCTAACTATCGAACTTCATTCAGATAAGATCATTTAAATATATCAGTGACCAGTAACGATTTAGAAGTTTGAAATATGATGTTAATGGTGACTTGCAGTTATGTTTCAGTCATGTTATCATAAAGTAAAAATTTTTTTACTTAACTATTCTATCATTGAATACGCTATTTGTTTGAAATGATGGAGTAAAAAACGGTAATTACAATTACAAAAGTAAATAACGGTAATTACAATTACAAAAGTAAATAACGGTAATTACAGAAGTGAATAACAAAAGAGAATAAAAACTCGCGAAATGATCATTTTGTAAACAAATTTCATTTTCTCATATAAGTCCGAACTTATCCATTAACAGCAACAGGAAACAGTAATCTGAGCTGAGCGCATTTGTTCAAATAATTTGCTGCTGACAAATTAATAGTTAAATATACGCCCTTTGAAAATAAGTTCCTCTTGGAATAGTACGAACTCGAACAATTCATTTATAACGAATAGCAATACCTTATATTGATATATAAATAATAATACCTTATATTATAAAAATGTTTAACAAAATTGGATTTTAACATTTGAAACTTCCGTTTACTTCCTCGAAATTACACACAGTGTAAGTTATTATTTAGCTAACGAACGCTGAATTATTGTGGTTGATTGTTTAGTGGTAGATTTTATAGTATTGAGTTGTGATCGTGATTTCGGAGATATTTCAAGATAGTACCATTCGTTCTATTCCACCAAAGTCATATCATTAATCTTCAAAAAATAATTAGCAAGAAATTAATGAATTCTAATCAGGCTCAATGTGCGATATTTGCGCTATGATGGTTTTATCTGTGGAATTCGTTGATTGTATGATAGTGATGATGATAATATGGATGCTCTGTACAGTTTGAATCTATTTTAATCACTTCATCTGATAAGACAAAGTGAGAATTTAGGCAAGTTTCTCTATAACACTGCGTAACCATCTTCGATCAAAATACTGTTTATTTATATATCATATAATATTTGCAATGGTTGCATGAGAACTGATTCTAAAAAATATGAAGATTCAATATTAAACATACGAACAATTGCCACTTCAATCTTTATTTCTGATGAATCCAAAAGATATATTGTTGATTTGAATTAATCGAATAGAACCAAACAATTCAAATTAGTTTATTCACTTGCTTTCACATTTTCTTCAGCAAATGTTAGTAATTAAACTGATTAGAATTGGAATGTGTTGTTAATGATATTGTTGAGATGGCCCGTGGTACCTATTAAAATTATAAAAGCATTGAAAATATTATCACCTAGCTTCTTATTTTTCAATATTAACGAATGGAAATGGAAATGTCATTTTAACTTAATGTATTGCTTCTAATCACTGATAATCTTACTTTTACTAGTTAATTAACTATTTCACTCCCATGACTGTTAACGGTTGCAAGGATTAATGATATCGCTTGATAAACAGGAGTGTTTAAAATTCTTTTTACCTGACTTAATTTCTTCAAAATTCTTTTCTTCTGGAACCTTATCATCGGTTTGAGCATATTGTTACTTTCTACCAACATCTTTAATATCGTGACTAAGGTTAAAAAAACAGAAGAAACATAAGGTTAGAAGAGAAATACTGAAATATGAAATCATTTCATAGGATATTCATGTTCATAAAAAGATTCCTAATATCCTCCAGGATGCATATCACTTTTACGTCTGTAGTCTCCATTGACGTAGATTCCATCCTCACTCACTACAATCCCTTGAGCTATACCTTCAAAACCAGTGGTTTTTTTGAACTTTTGTCCGAAATTCTGCGTCAGATCATTCATCAACTCCTTAAATGATTGATAAATGACATGATGAAACTTCCGATTACTTACTGATAAATCTGATAAGATAATATGATAATATAAACCCTCGGTACAGCATGTTCAAATTGTGTAATATCTGGTGTGAATTGATTGTGTAACGCTGGAGCATCAATAGCCTCTTTTATAGTTTCATTGAAAAATAGCACTCGAACAACAGCCTTAGCCAAAGATGAAATTATTTTCGAACCACCCGATGATCCTGCTATCATTACAATCTGAAATTTGAGAAATTTTGTACTCAGTAAATAAAAATAGCTACTAATAATATAGTGCTAATAATTAATAGCCAACCATTAATTATTAGCACTATATTATTTGTAGCTACTTTTATGAGGAAATGCTAACTAGTATGAGGAAATGCTAACTTTTCCAGTTTTATTATTATAAATGATCATTGGACTCATACTACTCATTGGTTTCTTCTTGGGCTCAATGAAATTGCTTTCAGATGGCGCAAATCCGAAGCCATTTGGCATGCCTATAAAAATTATTAATTATTAATTAGAATTATTTACTTTTTTTTTGGTTTTGAATTGACAGTTCTGAAATGTGTCCATATTATTCGTTGAGTTCAATGAAATTTTTGATAGTGCAAATCTATTATTAATAACCTGTTAGTGGTTTCAAGTGCAAACCTCTGTTTTAATTTGACTGTTAGTAAACTGAGTTACTGAGCTACTTAATTACAATAATACAATCGAGTATAATGATTGATGATGATACAATACACTGTTTACTATATGTGGCAGATCTTTTCACTATACTTGAAATTTACAAGTATGGTTTTTATATTATATTATAAAAGTATTATATATAGTAGTTTATACCTTTTATAATAAGTAAAGGATGAAAATTTATAACCTGGAGTGGAGAAGTCATCCATTTCGTCATTAAATACAACTCCTAACTTGACAGATTGCACTACCGCACCAAACCTGCAACCTTTGTTGCTATTGGTATGTTTTGCAAAAAGGAGTAGTATGGCTACTTTGAAATAATTAAAAAAACATGTAACATGACTATTTGATCTATCTATACTTGAAGTGGTACTTACCATCGATTAACAGTACTTGTACTGGATACTCCATTACCCATAGAATCTAATACCGAAACATGCGACGTACCATGGTCATCTAACTGGAATTTTTATCGATTTCAAAGTATATTTTATTGCAGAGGAATAGTGGAAAGATTCTTTTTAAATCTTTTTTTTTGAAGAAGAATGATAAGAACAGTATTAGTAGTTCAATTATAGAGATGTGAAAAACAGACTGATAGATGACGATTGCAATCTTTCATGAGAATTTTTAGCTGCCTTTATTGGAGAAGAAATAATTTTGATTAATACTTAAGATCCAGAATCTTGGCCATACAACCAAAATAGCGCTTTATGGCATTTAAGTAAGCAGATGCTATAGCTAAGATAGAATCTTTTTATTTTCTCTCACATTTAATTCATCATTCTTCATCTTACTAATCTAATCCATTCTTACCTGTTTCGAAATTCCACCGTAGTATTCTGTTGGTTGTGCCTTATTGCGCATTCTTGAAAATACCCAATCCGTGTATGCTTTTGTTGTCATATTTTTGGCAAGCTCTTTGGCTTCTTTCACGAAAACTTCATCACCTAATAATAAAGCTATGAGAAAATATCTCAACTGGCGATCATTCGATAAATTCTTTTCAGTTCCCTCCAAATTGTATCCAAAGCACTACGATTGACACAGCAAATACTTTGTACATGATAGCCGTTTAATGTATCCATAAGTGCAATTTAAAATATACTGACAATGATGAACTTCCAAGAATTGCTATGAAAATATAACAAACTAACCCATCAAAGTCCGTTGTGCATAAGCAAACTTTTGCGCTTCGAGAAATCTATGATAAAAAAGTGCATCACTCTTTAGCACCTCTTTGCTTGTCATAGGCCCATAAAATCCTGCAATACAATACGATTGAAAACTGTCAATATTCAAGTTCGGCAGTAATTTAAGTTGAATAAGCATTGGTGAAATTTAAAATACTTATTATTCAAACAGAATTATTACCAAACTTGAATGCTGGCAAGTTTGCATTAATATTGGAATAAAAAACTGACGAGCCATGAGAGATATAATCAGTTGAGTAACTGCGAATGAGGAAGGAGGTGGTGGACCACACATTACTAAATCACCCGAGAAGTGATCATTGACCAGTGGCTGCTCGTGTACTATTGGTTTAAATTGTGCGAAATCATTCTCCGTTACAATTCCGCCTAAATAAATTTCATAAACAAAAATACACCATGTCAATTCAATATTTTACATTAATTCCATTGATTCAAATAGTTCAGTCAAAGCGATTTAATAAAGTCTAACTTAGCCAACCAATCCTAAAAGTCTTAAATACCTTCACTTTATTTTCCCAGCATATCCATCCTGTTTTTAGTTAACTCGCTCTTATAAACAATTCCAAAAAGTAAAAAAAAAATTCAACGAACCATTATCTTGGATTTCCCTGACTAATTCTTTGGCGATATCTCCACGGTAGAAAAGCTCCACTGGATCGGAACTAAGTGCAAGCCTTTCTAATGTATTACCTAATTCCGATCGTTTAATAATATCTCCGGCAACATACACTTTATCGGTATTATTGTTAATCCAACTTCTGTAATCAAACTGTATGAAGAAAAATTTTATGATACTGTTTTGACACTTTGATGCATCATTTTGATATTGTCTAACTTTATTGTTCAAACGAGAAGATTAGATTATGAAATACTCACGCCATAGTGGTCAATGTTTTACAATGTTTCTCCTTTGCACTAAGGACATATCCGAGGTACTTGGACACGGGTACTCCATAACGGCATAGATCAATCGATGGTTTTATCAAATCATACCAAGATACCTGTCCACTTCCAAAACGTTTGAATGCAAGCCAAAATCCGGCAATTTCTCCTGGTGTTGCTATAGCGCGATAACCTGAAATCGTCATTAGTGATATCAGCACAAAGTGATACCAATGTACCAATACTCAAACACTGTCTTTTTTAAATATTCTGTTGTAAATTTACCATATTTGGAACCGAATTCATCATTGATGAACATATCCCGATGGGCCTTCTCAGGCGCTGTTTCTCTGGCATCAATAATAGTGCATTTTTTTTCAGTCCTGAAAATTCTCTTTATTCTGTTCTTTTTTAAAAAACCTAGATATCTAGTCAATTTCAGTTTTTAACTGTAAACTACTAAGATCGTTCCTGATTAAATGAGTTTAAATAACTATTCTAGACAATTTGTTTATCATCTAAGTTAATTCAGTAACAAGTGAAAATATTTAATTAGCACAATATTATTAATACCTATTATATAGCGTCATAATGAAGCCACCGCCGATACCACTGCTCTGAGGATTTGTGACACCGAGACAGAACATTGAAGCGATTGATGCATCCACTGCATTACCACCTCTCATCAAAATATTCCTGCAATAGCATTTAATACATTTTCAGGGGTTACAGACAAGTAAATGCCATTAAGTGATTAATATCATTTTTTAAGACTTCTTCAACTATTAATCAGTATGTAGGACGATGACAGTGCAAGAAATGAATTTACTATCTAAAAAATAAATGAAAAAACATTGCGCCCTCTGAAACAATACTTGAAATGCCCACAATTAACCTTTTACTACTTTTTTTTCCTTAAAGTTATAATTACTCTTTAACCACATTTAGAATTCAAAAGCTTTCGCTTAAATTTTGTATGAAACGATTATTGAATGTAGTTACCTGCCAATTTCACTACACAATCCATGATCGCAAGTGACTGCAGCGCGTGTATAATTACCCATATAACTATCAGAAGGTGGCGGCCAGGAATATGGATATTTCTCACATAACGTTCCCTCACCCTAAAATCATTATTACTTTATTAAGAAGTATAAATGTTGATGAAATTGTTAGGCTTTTCAAATATATACTCAATCTAGGTTATACACTGTTGAATTAATAGTAACAAAGTGCTATTGGATAACAAATTGAATACTTATCATTTTCTGGAAGGCATAAAATGACTGAGTGAAGGAAATCACCACAACAAATAAACTAAACAACATTGTCGTCATATGTATGCAATATCTGAAAAATAATTGCAATTGTTTAGAATGTTTTTCAAAATAGATTCTTAGGATTTTTGCAGATTGAAAATAAACTATAACCCTTTGAAATGGTTGGTGACATATTTCACCTAAATTATCTTTCGTTTTTTAGAAACAATCATCAATTTATGGCACGCTATAGCAATGTCGCCTAGATGTATCAAAAGGTAAATTAGGAATAGTTTTATCGAAATAAGCTTAGATTAGAAGTTCTAATTTGTTGTGACGAATTATTGGAAGTTTCCGCCAGCAAGCCAATTGTGCAAATACCTTGCCGCAGCAGAATGCTTTGCGCTGACAGCATTAGACAATGAGTGTTATATTGCCATTTTTAGAAGTTTCCACGATCATTGATTTAAAATCATTAGAAGACGAGAATTAAAAGAAAGAAAAACTACATGCAAGGCATGCATATAAAAGATAGCAAAATAAATATCAACTAGCAAACATACACAAAATCATTCTCACGCAGATTTAACCACTGATGGNATATCAACTAGCAAACATACACAAAATCATTCTCACGCAGATTTAACCACTGATGGATATATAACGGAAGATATCGAAGAAAAGATTCATTGATGATCTATGAGGTAAAAAGAACCTTAATATTTATGTATGAATTAGTGATGTGATAGGAATAAAAGAATTAATGCTAATTAACATAGAGCAGTGATTATTAATTCAAGATTACGCATTTCTATACAAATTAATTTAATCTGGCTTATTGATAAGTCAAATAGTTCATATACACTCTCTTGTTTGCATTTGCCTCTGTGATAGTCATTTAATTTGATTGATAGTTGTTGATTCTTAAAGGAAGTTTCGTTTGCTGATAGAAAGATACAATCATTCATAATTATTTAAGATTGCTTTCCCTTTCGCACGTCTTTAGAATTGTTTGATTCTCTTTATTAGTAGCAAAAGCGTTGAGGATTATTTTTATGTTTTAATTAAATAAATAAACAGCTCTTAATATTGTATGGGAATAAGATAGAAAAGAAATATTAAATGGTTTCTTTAAGAAAATGAAATCGAAAAATGGAGAAAGATGTTGTCGGAAGTTTGATCCAAGATCAGGAATTTATATCAGCGTATTGATGAACTGAAATCAACTTGACTTGTAATCTCTTTATCAAGAAAATCATCTCCGGTAATGTTTTCTATGTTGTTATACAGCACCGAAAACATTCCGGTATTGATTAATATCAGAAATCTTGCTGATCACTGATCACACGAATCGGTAGGCCCTAAACTGAATCGAATATCATATCAAAGAGAATGAGAAATGATGAAATGATAACACATGACAAGATGGCGATGAATAAAATGTTAAGATGACATTAACGAATTAGCAAATGATAAAGACTAATAAAGGAAGTCTACACTCTAAAATAATACCCAAACAACAAATAAAGCAACGGATTTGCTGAACATTGAAAATAAGACGATAGTTTAAATGGCCGGTGAAGAGGAGATAGAAGATAGAGAGACGCATGGCGAAACCTGTTCGGAGCAAAAAATCGACTTATTGTGATCTTTCAAAAATTTACTTTAAAATTGATGACTTTGATCGAAAAGGATGTGTGTAATATTGTACGGAGTGTATGTGGTATTGCTGTATTACAAATTGAATATTGCTACATTTCTACAACAGTAGTCAGATAGTCAGATTTGGGTGCAAAAATGATAGTGCAAAAAAAATTTCGAAATTTCCTGGCGATAAAACTTGACTTTTCAGACATTGCATATGAAATGCAATTCCTTGATATCATAAAGTAAATCAATTGGGAATAATGATTCATTTGTTGGAGGCAATTCCACATCAAATACAACCTGATTACTCTATCATTTAATAGTCAGATAATACTATCCTAAATCATATTACAATATGATAATTAGTAAATATTAGCTATAATTTTAGAAATTACACCTATACTGTACTACGAACTACTTGATGAAGTAAAATAATCCTTAAGTATTAAATGAAGAATTTCCTTTCTTTTATTGCTAAGAGCTTTTTATTATCTTCCTACGGCTATCTTAATTAAAAAATTGTAAGAATGTGATAATAACTTCCCATGTTCTAATCTCTATCTACTTTAATGATCCCAGTTTAATGACATATGATCCCAGTTCGTTTTAATTATGCTTGTGATGAAACTTTTCGTAATTTGGCTACCATCCGAAATTTACAGCTAGGAAATCTAATAATAATAATTATTTAATAATAATAAAAATAGTTAAATAATAACAATAGTAATAATAATAATTAATAATAGTATTAAAAAATAATAATAATAAATAAATAAATAGTAACGCATAAATAATAAACAAATAAATAATAATTAACAAAAATAATTAATAAAAAAATAGTAATAGTAATAATAATAATTGCAATCGTATATTGGTAACATAAGATAAAATTTATAACTGGCTTTTGTAATTTGAAAGTAAAAATAACAAAAGATGATTGATGATGATGATGCATCATCCTTTGCTAACTAAATCAGCAAATACCTCAAACAACTATTTTTGAGAAACTGGATTTTATAGAGTTTGGTATCATTTTTATAGTAAGAGAATGTACTGAAGAACAACTCCACTATTTCAACATGAAACATTACTAAATTTTGTTTATACAATTTCTTTCTTTTCAAGTGATATTTAAGAAGTTGAAATTAATCAAGAAAATAGCACCTTTGAGAATTATACATTTCGCACAGACTGACGATAATTTAAGAAGCTGTTGTCATAAACTAGAATGAAATGATGACAAAGGTCATTTTATCTGAAAAAAAATACGATCCAGTAATTGTTGTACGAATGTGCAAAGTTCTATTACACTATCTAAAAAACAAATTGAACTTGACCTACCTGAGCCGTACAAAAGTGTCATTTGGAATGAATAAGTTGTTTAATGTTTATAAGATGGAAATTTCGTCTGATTATATCAATAATTCCATTGGCAGTTCCACTAATAAAATTGTTTACAAATGCTTCTGACAGTATACAAATAGGGAAAATATGTAAATAGCCCATCATTATCAGTGCTAAAATTGTTAATGATAGAAATTGCATTCTGAAATGATCGTTTCTTTTTAGTTTCATCCTGTTTAGATAGCGTAAAGCTTCGATAGAAATATTCGTATAAACAATCAGAGCAAAGAGGACCAGTTTTAAGTCCTACGAAGGAATATGAAATTTGCATTTTATGAAAGAAGTAAAATTATATATGTAAATGAAATTCTTGCATTGCCAAACACGGTCTCTTATATTTTTCCATTATTGCTTAATTTTAATTTTCAGCTTGTAAAAAACGAATTCAATAAAATTTCAAGAAGGTGATTAATGACAGCCAGAACAATGCGAACTACCGAATCACCTTCAATCCATCTAACAATTAGACGTTCGATTATGTACGCTTTTCGTTGTTGAAACTCATGGCAATGTCACTACGTTCCAAAACAATTCGATTGATTAAATACATGAGAAATAGTGAAAACAATATACAGTCGTATTCGTGAAAGTTCAGCACAAAATGAAATATCCGACGTGGTTGTAATTCATGTCTTACATCGCAGACAGAACCGCGGGATAATGAATTGTACAACAACTTTTGTACAACTGATTTGTACAACGTCAAATTGATCTCTGCAACAGTCATACAACGATACCAACGGTAGGCTAGAGAACAGTTTGCAATTAAAAAATATTGTAAATTATTCTCTAGCCTATGGTTTATAGATGATTTGCTAAATCGTACGCTATTTTTTGGTGGGAATGAAATTCGTTTTTAGATTAATTTTGAAGAAGGTTTGATTTGAATACTTTTTTTTGTGAGGGTGATGTAAGGTTTTCTATTATTTTTGTATGTTTTGTAGTACGTCCATAGGAAGGAAATACTTAATATTTAGGCATCACGCATTTTACTTGACACCTTCCATTTTATTCCATGTATCTGAGATTTCTTCCATTCCATTGCAATCTAGAAATTCATGTCCATCTGCTTCCATATAAGAAATTATCACTGTTCATGTATAAGTAAGCAAACTAATGATGCAAAAAAAAAATCAATAACAGCTGGATAAATTAAATTCGTGGATAATAAAATGGAATCATCCCACTGTTTTAATTAGAAAAGATCAAATATTTCGACTTCATTTATTGGAATAAAGAAGTATCAAGGTATGCAAAGATATTAAAGTTTTCATTTAAGTGATATTTTAAAATATCTAACATCTTGTCAACATCTTTGTCTGATCACGAACTTTCATATGACATACCATTTTATATTTAAAA